CTAAAATGACCTAAAATGACCTAAAATGAGCTACAATGAGCTACAATAAACAACATTTAGTGGAAGAAATGGTGATATTTTGTATTATCGTACTTTTGGACACAACAAACCTGCTCAAAATGTCCGTTAAATAATTAATTTTTATACTTTGAATACCCAACTCAAATATAGCCGGCATCGCATCAGGTGCATTACAGAAATCTAGTTGTCTAGTCAATACATTATTCTTTGCTTTGCTTTGATAAATGAAAAAAATTCCAGAGTTACGTTTATAGCTAGAACGTTTTAATTTTTTGGGCTCCCTGTCTTAACAAATAAACAGGAAGCCCACAAACTTCAAACGGCTGGTTGTTTATTAGTCTCGTTTGCATCCGTTTCCGGTGTCAAAACGCGAAGGATGCGAATAAGTTGTTTTGTATTTCGTTGAGCTTTTTTTTTGCTTTCATAAACTTGGCTGAAACTATTGTGTTTGTTCTTGGAGTTCTCAAAATTTCCCAACAATTATAAATAAACAAAACAAAGTAAACAGACAAAAAGATGTAAAGCATAATAATTGTTCAAATGTAAATTTAGGAAAGGGTGTTGTTCCAGAAAATAAAGAACTACTATGGGAAAGTGGGATGCATCTGCATTGATATTTTCTACATACAAATTTTACAACATTTTATTAGAAAAAATTATTTTGCACCTTAACAATAATTTGATTGGTCAAATGATTTGAGGGGAAAATAACTTTGCATGGTAAAAATATTTGATTGGTTCATATTACTTTAAGGGAAAAATTTACACTGCACGGTAACAATTATTTGATTGGTTGAATAATTTGAGGGAAAAAAAACTTTGCACAGCAAAAATAATTTGATTGTTTGATCAAGATTCGAGGAAAAGTAACTTTGTACGGCAACAATGATTTGATTGGTTTATCATGATTCAAGGAAAAGTAACTTTGTACGGCAACAATGATTTAATTGGTTCATCATGATTTGAGGAAAAATAACTTCACATAGCAACCAAATTTGATTGGTTGAATAATTTGAGGAAAAAGTGAAGGTCATACTATCACTATTGTCACTAACAAGCTATCTTGGAGGTAATACTTTTTTATGATTTTCTTGGTGTTGGTCCCCTAGATAATAAATACTACTATTTTTATCTAGGGGACCAACATCAAGAAAAAAAGCAGTCTTTTTGACTGCAGAGAGCTGAAACTTCGCATTAAGAACAATATATTGTGTGAGTTTGAATTCATTTTATGAAGATTTCCTACTTTTATTGAATATTTCGTTTTTCCCTACAAGACCTTCAGAGAAAAGCCGACAAGTGTAGTGCTTGGGCTACCTGTGGTTTTGGGGTCGGTACAAAACATGGACCGGGGGTCCATGGACCGCCATCGTGGACCTATCCATGGACTGGTCCATGGACTGGTCCATGGACCAATTTTCGTGGACCACCCTAAAATATAGATATATATTTTTTCATGTTTGTTATTTTAAAGCACTTGTACCAGTTTATAGAGTGCATAAAGTCAGTTGAACTGTGAAATATCAAAAAACATTTGTTATTCAATCAAATAGAGTGCTTGAAAGCAAAGCTAATAGAAATAGGAGCTACTAACTTGTATTTGGTGTAMAACTGCTATTTTACATGTCCACTGACTTCTATCTATTCATGTTGATATTGTTAAAGATTGGATGTTTTACTGAGTCTAGCACCATCAGCATTATATGACTAGGCTATTCTGAATCGATAACACACTTTTCTGTTGTCATGTTGATATTGAGAACTATTCTGCATATGACTTGGCTTTGTTGATATTAGAACCATATGCAATTGCAGTAAATAAAGGGAAAATCATCGTTGCAAAAGTTTCCAGTCACTCTCCCTGAGTCCCTTCAACAGGACAGTAAAGTACTCAGTTCCAATGACTATTGGTTACACATGGCTCGTACAGTCTTGAAAGGTCCTTGCACTCCTTGATTATTACAAAACTCCAAAAGTCCTTGATTACTAATTTTCCTTGAAAGGTCCTTGAATTTGGAAGAAACGTCCTTGAAAATGACAATTTAGTCCTTGAATCAGTCTTGGTTGTTGTATTAAGTAATGTTTTAGGGATCAATTTAGACAAGCTTTGGAACAAAATGACAAGAATTCAATCGTTTTGGGATGCTTGTTTTTAGTTTTGTCRAATATGGTGGATCCTACCTTGTTTTTGTGCACATGTTAACATGCGAAAAATGAKTATTACACTTTAGGTAGCGAAGTTCTTGAAAATTGAATGTTAATCCTTAAAAAGTCCTTGAAAAATCCTTGGATTCTTTATGAAAAAATCTGTATCCCAATTGAGAGACACTAGTATTGACAAAATAGCGGCTTGTGAAATTGTAAACACTAGTTTCTTCTAAGCATCAAAGTACAAGCTCGTGGCAAGTGCTTTAAAATAACAAACATGAAAAAATATATATATATTTATATTTTAGGGTGGTCCACGAAAATTGGTCCATGGACCAGTCCATGGATAGGTCCACGATGGTGGTCCACGGACCCCCGGTCCATGTTTTGTACCGACCCGTGGTTTTGTTGTGCCCAACAGTACGATAATACAAAATATCACCATTTCTTCCACTAAATGTTGTTTATTGTAGCTCATTGTAGCTCATTGTAGCTCATTTTAGGTCATTTTAGATCATTTTAGGTCATTTTAGGTCATTTTAGATCATTTTAGGTCATTTTAGATCATTTTAGGTCATTCCTCCTTTTAGTAACTACGAATGCCCGCAACAGTCACTATTAATGAAATGCTATGTTCCTTTTTTTTGTTTAATTATTACCTAAAATGACTATTTTTTAAGCATAAAGTAGTAATTTTATTGAATACTTATTTATCATTTTATATTGATTCCTGCCAAATTATTTGCTATAATTCTATACCATCCAAAAAAAGTAATGTCCACAACACTTTTTAGGTAATGTCCACAACAAAGACATTAGTCTATAGTTTCCACAATAATAGAAAATAACAAGAAAGTTTTAATGGCCAGTATTAAACCCCCATCATTACTTAAACTATATAGTCAGAGTTTTAGTTTCTTGAAAGCTTTTCACAATTCACTGCAATTCTAGCTTAAAAGCAGTCACTTGAATACATTGGTTGTTTTTAGGGTAATGTCCGCAACAGTCACTATAAATAAAATATCTAAGGAGGGAAAGGAGGCATCTGGTGTTTTTCACAATTACATAGTGTGAGGGCCCCTCGAGCTTAATTATAGCAAAGTTTGATCCACCTAGCTTGCTGAAGTTAGAAGTTGTGATCAGTTTTGTAGCCATATTTTGCCTCTGAAGGTAATGTCCGCAACATGGAATTGACCTTTAATAGCTAAAATGTTTGACATAGAAGAAACCAACCATTCTTATTCTTACCTTACAGTTGCCTCTGGACATACATGACCACAAGGCACAAATGCATGTGTTGGTAAAATTTCTCCTTCATAGAAAGCTCTCTCATGTCCTATTTGTAATGGAACATAGTCGCTTACCTGAAAGGATAACATGAAATCAACATCAGCACTGTGGATACTCAATTGAAAAAACAAGTGACAGTGTTTTTGAAATTTGTGAATAAGAGGCACAGTTTGTATTGAAATACCTTAAACAAGTAAGTAATTAAGCATATTATTAACTTCACATTCTTTTGGATGTTTTTTTTCTTTTTTTTCTTTTGTTTGTTTGCTTACGTAGCTTTTATGTAAATTAAGTACTAAACATGTAAGAAACATGATGGCAAAAGCAGTCAAAGTTAACAGTCAAGGTTGGCAGTCGAARTTAGCAGTTCATGAAGTTAACAGTTACTTGAAGAAGTACGACCAGGAGCAATTCACTCAGAATCCCTAAGAGGCTACCAAGGAACAGACTCACTACAGAATCCCTGSACATACAAGCTAAAGTACAAGAAGACTTCTAAGACAGCATGCCTAATCGATTTATTGTGGAAGAACATCGTCACTCTACCATCAGCAGTCGCATTAAATCGTCCCATAGCCTTACAGAAATTACTGTACCTGACCTGATTACCTAATTTTAAAATACTTAAAAAGTGCTCAAGCAAATTGGATTGTTTGCTTCACGATATACTGTATATTCGTAAGATAAAGCAATCCCTGAACATCCAATCAGACTCYGTCAAGGTGAAGATCTTTTACTAACTCTACCCTCTTTGGACTTTACACTCCACCTTATAACTTTGCTTTTTGAATTACTTCTATTTTCTCTTGAKAATGACACCACATAGCATCGAAATATTGAAATGATTCAAAACTTCCTTATGTTAGTTTTTACTCTTCAGGGCCAGGTTATTCAAAGCCCGATCAGTGTTAGTCCAGGGTTAACGCCACAAGTTTTCTAAGAGTTAACCCAGGATTAGCGCTAATCGGGCTTTGAATAACCCGGCCCAGATTACAAACAAAGCCACATTAATCTAGAATCATACATTTTGAACACTAGTAAGAATAAATAACTTAGATAATTACATTTATATATTACTTTTATTTACTGCAGTAAATATACTTAATAGATATATGCTTCTATTATTAAGCCGTAATAATACTTTTTTCGTCTCCCGTAAAGCTCTTTCTGGGGGAAGGCCACGGTAATTGTGAGTTTTTCAACTTCCCATTAGATCCGTCACACATTCAAAATCAGCATTTATTAAAAATTAATTTTAGTTGTTTTTTTTTACACTAAATCTTAATTTTTTGTATTGCAGAATTGCCAATTGCACACAGCACCACTCCTARATTGCTGTTATGTACCTGAAGACATATAGGGCAGGTTCTGTTCTTGTGGTCTGTTCTTGGTTGATCTGGACTATTCCAGTCATGCAATCCATGTACATGACCACATTTAATATATACATGTGGCCGCCTACTGAGTGTATCATATACCTCAGTACATGAAGAAGATGTTGGGAAAACAAGAGTTGTCAGGCCAACTGGACACTGYGGTCTCATTGCATTGAGTCTTCGTCTCATGGCATCAATCATTCCTTCAGTCTACAATTACAATTACAAGTGAGAACAAGTTTTAAATCAAAAAAAGGGATTAATTTCAAAGAGCTTGTTAACATATATCAATAGGCCTTTTGCAGCTRGGGGTCACGTGACCACACCTACCTTAAATCAATCGGCTATCACAAAATGATGTTCAGAAATGGAAAGAGGGGATCAAAATAAGTAAGAAGACAAAGTTTCAAAGTCTCAACTCTAAATACTTCAAAAATGACAGCAAATATAATAAAATCATTTTTTTTCTAAAAGAAACATTGTGCAAAAACAGAACTGGAGAGCAAGGCTCATAATTTTCTTTACAAAAAAATCAATATTTTACATTTGCTGTCATTTTTTAAGTATTTAGAGTTGAGACTTGAGACTTTGCCATTTTACCAAGTGAACATAAACCTGCTCTGTCCATTTCTGAACATAATTTTTTGATAACTGATYGATTTAAGATAGGTGTGGTCACGTGACCCCHAGCTGCAAAAGGCCTATTAAAGCACAAGTCAAGTGAACCTCTAGGAAGGTGAGAATGTGTGATTCCTCAGTATAAATCATTTTCTCCAAAATTATGCTGAATTGCAAAATTACATTCATAGTAAGATATGACCAAAAATCTAAATACAGTATTTTGACTTTGAAATGGACTGTTATAAAAGAATGTTCAATGTTTAACATGATATTAACTCTCACCATAAACAGAAATGCAGAATTATWTTAATTCTATTGTGTTTTATGAGTTAATAAAAAAGGTACTTACAGGTATTTGCTTCATTCCTTGCGATGTTTTCCACATCAAAACAGCCCCACACAGATCAATCAGTGATCCATCCATTAGAATATTAGACTCATTTGGCATCTAGCATGTGGAAAAGTATTATCTTTCAATATATCAAGTAACCAAATAATATATTTAGCCCTTCAAATATTAAAGATACAAATGTACATGTACGCAACACTTCACATAAATTTGCTAAAATATGTGACCTTCAGCTGTAAACCTTCACAGGAAATTACATTTGGTTGATTTGTGCTTAAAGATAAATCATTCTTCTAAAAGACTTTTGTGTTAAAGAAATGCTGCAAATTATGCTTCTGGAAATTAGCACACACAGATGACTCCTAGCTATTTCATGCAACACTGCTCCCTACAACAGCAACAACAACAATCATTGTGAGGCAATGTGTGTTATACTGTGTAATTCTTTAGCACCTAGTTGCACAACCATAAAGTARGGAAMACCCAGATATTAGTGAAAGGGAGAGAACTACATGTACATGTAAGTTCAAGCTTTGTTGATGATTAAATCAGTCATATAAAAGTTGCAGATTTTTTGTTCAACAGCTGGCAATAGGAACACAACTCTTACTGGTTTGCCTCTCGTAGAAGATGACCGAGTTTCTCGTAAGGTGTACACATTTCCACAAACAGATATTTCTCTCCAGATACCAGCAGGACTGTTGGGGCTTCCCTTAGGGTTCATGTGTAATATACCGTTAGTTGTCAGACCATCCATTTGCATGTTATCATCATTCTGCCATTTTGCTGCTTTTTCCTGAAAACAAGATTGAGATGTTTAGGAAGAAATAAATGCAACTGATTATAACAATCAAATAGAATTATTAATAATTATGTGTCAATAAAATGATGATTAATTACTGAAGTGACTGAACATAGCACAAAAGCAACATCAGTCAGCATGGCATTGCTGCTCAATGTTTTGCCCTTAAGCTAGACTTAATTTAATTCATGGTGGCACAATTAAATGAACTCTTACTAGTGATTTTGGATACCAGTGACATTAATTTCTCAATATGTATACTGTACTTACTCCTAGAAAAATATTATTTGTTCCATCAAATCCAGCAGCAAAAACCCTCGCTGTGTGAGGTTCCTGTCTATCCACAGTAATCCTACAAGCATACCGTGATATTGTACTTTTCTGTGGATTAGGTATAGCGCCTGCTTGTTTTGGTCCTGGTACTGTATCAAGGACTACAAAGTCTATTTTACTGTCAGATGACCTGCCAACCTAGAAACACGGTTGTTTTAGGGTTATAATTAGTTAAAACTACTTCTGAGCAGAGGCGATTTCAATATTTAATCCCCCCTTCCCCAACTCCAACATTCAAAGTTCAAAAAACATTCGATGTTGCCACTTTCATGCCAAGACCATTTAYGACTTTCAAAAATGGTGTGTTATGTCACGGTCACCAACCAGGACAATAGGGACGAAGCCTTTAAACGAGTTCTCAAAGGMCAGCCTCTGTGTATAGTCAACTACCATGGTGTCTTGCAAGAGTGTTTTGTTATAAATAACATACCAACGCATCTTTCAAACTTTTGGACACTATATACCTACATGCGATCTTCGTTGCGATTTCTAGATGGAAGGCATTCAAGGTCTCCTTTCCATGATTCATCACTAGTCTCCCGATATTGGCGGTCRTGAACTACCACCATTTTTGAAAGTCGTGAATAGTTAAGATATGACGGACTGGAGATAATTTCTTGAATCAGCACTTTTCAATTTGATGTCACTACCAGGACTGTGCCATATCCATGCCATTGGACAGTCATACAAAATCAGCTCTAATATAATATTATAGTAAGTAGTGTATTACCTGACACTATTTTTTAATGATGCACCCCCTATCCTGACAAAAATCTAGGAACAGACACTCTATAACCTTGACTGTACAGTCTAAGCACAAGTAATTGAATCATATTTCTGATATGATGTCCATTGCTATAACACAAAGACAGGGAGGGAAAAAAACTCCACCACAGACAGGGGCAGATCAAGATATTTTGGAGGGGGAGGGGCATATCTAACTTTGCATTCAACTTGGTCTGCCTATCCCACTGGAGTATATTATATTCAAATATAACATATATTTGATATGCATTTAGGCAGGACTAAACAGGATAGACTAGGGATAAAAGTTTATACAGTTATGTACTCATTTTGACTGATCCTTGAATAACCCTAACGCCCTTAATTAGTATTACCTGAAACATATCTGTCTTTTCATCCTTGCAGTATTCAACAACYACTGATTGTCCTCTGTTTATAGTGTATGAGACACTGTGGGATTTATTGGAATAAAGTACCTTGAAAAATAAGCAGAATTTCTGAAATTCAAAAAGAGCACCTAAAGTTGCAATAGACCTTATCGGCTAACGGCATTGCTATGTACGTTGCCACCCAATTCAAATCCTGTGGGAAAAATAACTTTTGTTTCTGTGAAATGAAAATACAACAAACAATGAAACTTACTCCTGGTTGATTTGAATTGGGTTGAAGCCGATTAGGTCTATTCCTATCTTAATCCCCAGACTTAGTAAAGTCAGAGATACATGTATCTACGCCAAGCCATAAGATATTTGACCAGTCACTATTGTTCTAGCACCTGTAAATTAAATCTTTGTCATTAATGTTCACTTTCAGCTCAAATAACCACTGAATATCAAAAGGGCATGAAAATTTGAGCTCTGTTTATGAAATAGTTTTTGCAATACATGTTTTTGAAAACTCTGATTTGTCAGAGAGGGTTAAATTATYGATTAGCCACACAGCATTTTGAGAGTTAAAATCTTTGACCACGAGAAAATGGTACCAAATCAGCAGCGAATATTGACAGAACTTGATACAATAGGCTATTGATTTAAAAAAAATTTGAATTGTAAATTTACTTGATGTTGCCAATTCGACAGTTAGGCTAAATGGACTCTATCTACCTGTTCGATTTCAATTGGTTGAAAACACATGGCAGTGCATATCAAACTACAACCATGATGCACTGCTATTTGATTAATATGCATTGTTGCATATGAAAAATGAGCTGCCTATATTCTGTCAAGCCAATTCAAAGAATCCTCTATAATCCATGCCCATTCTTCAGCTGCAATTACAAATAGTACTAAATATTTTGATCTCAGATTCTTGAAAATTAAAACTTCAACCTTTCAAAACAAATAAGAAGAAAAAAGGAACAAGCAAAGGATTAAAGTTAGCAAGGTGAACGTTCATCAACACCCTTGYCTTTATAGCGCTGCTCGAAACAATTATTCATGGAAGCTGTAAGTAATCAACAGATACAGTACCTGTTACGATAATTATGATTGAATATTTGTAGCTGTATCAAATTCAAATTACCTGTTTGCCAGTATCAGAAGATGCTAGATGTTGCCTGAATGGCTTAACTCCTGATGCATACACTCTCTTCTTCAATATGTAGTTGCTCTTTTGTCTAGYGTGAACTCCATTAGGATTCTTACCATTGTAACTGAGAATGACAAAAATAGTTCATAAGTTTGATGAAAACAACAGTTTGGTGGTCATTACAACAATCTTTATCTATTGTGTTGTTAAAGAAAAATGTGTTTGAGWGGTGTTAGTGTCTTACGTACGTTCTGTAGCATAAATTAATAATATTATTGTCATGCCATTACATCAAAGTTGTTGATTGACWTTGACGTATACAGAAGAGACCCAAAAAGCTCTATTACTTATTAATGTCTTTCAATTCATTAAACCATGAAAATAATTCATATGTAATTTTTTTAAGATTTGCAAAGGAACTCACCCAAGGACAACTAGCATTCCATASGTCGTTTCAGAGTCATTTTCATCTGTGGTTGCCGTGATTTGTGTAATGTGAGTTGCCTTCATGTCTGATTCTTGACATAATTTCTTGGGATCCGGAGCAGCAATACACAAGACAGTTGTGTTTGCAGTGGATTTCCCCTCAGTTCTGTACAATTATAACAAAATAAACAGACCAGGAATTCATTATTGTACCAAACGGAACTTATATGTCACATGAAAATTTTCAGCAATTACATTTACAATGATGAAACTAAAAGTTCAACTTCCTTAATTTAGAACCAATCCCATTTGTAGCTGAATGCATTTGTTAGATTTAAGTATAATGCAAAGACTAAGTAACATAGTTTTAATGCCTCTCAAGACCACAGTTTAATTTTATATGGATTTTTTGCTAAGAAAAATGGCTGTTGTCATGTACATAGGCATATGTTATTAAAAAMATTTAGGCAGTACCCAGTCATGATCATCGTATGATTTCTCCTTCAACTAAAAAAATTGAACCAAACGAAGAATTATTAATATGCTGCATGGTTTGCAACTGCTATATTCAAGCATGATGGATTGATTGGCTGTTAAATTCACTATTGATTTAGAAACCAGCCAGTTATAGACATGACATAATTCAACAGCCCTGGTTGAATAACCACAAAACAATATTTTTAATATCAGTCAAGAAATCATCCAAGYAGTTATGCAGCATAATTGCATGTACAATCTATACCGTAGCTGCAGGGGGTTCAGGTTCAGTTCAACACTCAAATGATGCTTAAGACGACTTCAAAGCCGAGTTTGATTTTTAACACTTAAACTAATTTAAACATTTTAATGAAAAAGTACTCATTGAATATTTAATAACCTCGTGGTTTTTGTTTTGTTCAATTAATTTTTTTTGTTTATGGTGTCACGCAATACATCACTGCCTTTGTTGTGTAGCATTTCACCCAAACTTTCACATAGAAAAATAGTCATGTTCTATTTTTCACGATTTTAGTTGCTGAAAAACAATTAAAACTCGACTGCAATAACTTAAAAACAAAGTCTGTTGATTTCTAATTAATTTGGAGAACAGAAAATGCGTCAGTTTATGTTTTATAGATTCATCTTGCATTTTGCTTTTAGCCATATTCGGGTTTTAACTAATGGAAGAAAATGCCTCTACTTCAACGTGATAAACTCATAGTCTAGTTCTCGGAAAAAAATAATTCAATATAACTAATATTTACAAAGAAATTTAGTCTTATCGATCGTTAAAACCAGACCACAGAAATTCAAAGAGCAAAATAGGCAAAGCACAAGCTAAGCTATAGCGCTATAGCAAGTGTAATATCGCCCAGAAAGGATAAATGTAACCTCAAAACAATAAAATCCATACTTAGTCTTACATGGAACTTACCCTGGCATTACAATCTCCTCTAGAAAGCTAAGACATCGAATCGCTTGACCTCAAAACCTCCGTATTTCCAGTAACTTGACATATCGGACATGTTTGAACAAGTCTTTACTCCTTCAATGGCGGTAAATTATTACCGAGTAGGAGCAGGGTCAAAAATACATTATTTTCTTCCAATAATTTTCTTTGTAACGCATGTCGTAGCAGAAAATCTTAAAAGATCGAACAAAACTTTATGATTTCTTTAAAACGTATTTTTAACTGTCAAATTTAAGTTCTAAAATGATAAAGCAGGCCAAAAGAAGAAAACTTACCCCTCCCCCGACAATAGAGCGCAAATATTTGTACATCGATATCTACCCGGGGGAGGGGGGGGGGGAGGGGGGTGGGGAATTTTCTCTGGAACAGGGTCAGGGTTTAATTCCGGAACTATTGATGCTGGGTAAAAATTTACAGGGTAAAAATTCGGCCTACACGGAAGCTAGTTTACTCTGGAACAGGGTATCGTTTTCAGCGATTTTACTCTGGAACAGGGTATAGCTTTCAGCAATTTCACTCTTACAGGATCAGGGTTTTGAGGTCCCAGCGGCACATACCCACCCAATCCAATTATGCCCCCCCCCCAAATTGTAATCCCGTGGGATTATAAAAGATTTTACAAGGATTCTACATGATAAACACCATGCTGTATTCAGAATGCAAAACATCCTACCTTTTTTGTTATCAGTGATTTCGCTTGCATAGTATCCTGGCTATCAGTGATGCATTTATGACCCCAGCTGCTATGAAAGCATTTGTATAAGGGAATGTATAGTACATGTAGCAATTCATTGGTATTATAAGTACTTAATTTTTATTAGTCTAAGCTGCTTTATTTTCAAAATTTTGGCAATGAAACTTTTATATTATATTATTGTATACTTCACATACATTCCCTACAACAAATGCTTAGCCTGGGTTACCTGTGTTACAATGAAGCATTTGAAGTCACTGTATTTGGATTCTATTCGATCTGAATTCTTCTAACCGAAAATCAGATTCTGTTTCCATTTGTGTTGATTCTGGATTCCAAGTTTCTGATTTCTGAATTTCAGAGCCACAATTTTGTTGGTTTCCAGATTCTATAGGTGGCAAACAAAGAACAAATTCCAGGCACTTATGGAAGCACCAAATTAAAAAAAAAAATACCATCATTCCAATATCTTTTGATGACATTTTGAAAAGGATATTAGAATAATCTTCTAGAATAATACTTCTCAAAACATAAAAAAACATGATGCATATGCAAAATAACTTGTTTTCTTTGTACTGAAAACTGGACTATGGAGATGAGATTCACTGTATCTACAAAAAATCAAAGAAAAATTCAAAATGGGTAAACATATCAAGGCTACGTTTCTGCATTAAAAACTCCAAGGAATCCAATGACCATAATCGATACAATAGTACTCCCCTTTTAAGCATTTTCTTTCAAACATCCTATTCCATTTCATTCACAATATCTTTCAATAATTCGATTTATTTCAGAAATCCCATTCTTTCCCCGAAGCATTCTTAGAATTATAAGCAAAGATTTTTATTGAACATCAAAGATATATGTACAAATATATATAAACATCATATTAATGACATTTTTGATGAACAAAATTGTTACTGGTCTGCTGATTAGTCAGCAATGTTGACAAGCTCTACCTCAAAGATGAGCGTTGCAAATGGTGGGATCCTGAAAAATCAAGATTTGAAATATAAAGAATAGTGTACAATGGGCCAATCTTGGGAGTGACTTCCATATAAAGTCGTTCATATATTTACAGAGTTCTAATGTACGTCATATATATGAAGGGAAGCATCAATAATACATCTTATGTACATGCACACCATAGTTATTCATGAATGTTCTTGTTTCATCATTATCATCATGTCTTGCCCACTGGCCGTACCACAGCCGTAGGGCGCTCTTCCTTAAAATGTTCTTCAAGGAATTGCAAGAAATCGTTCTTCTTCATCATCATTCTTCTTGCCTGCTGTTTAAATACATGTACCATCAAAATACAGGCAATACATGGACGTTATACCACAGATAAGGCTGTTTTATGGATACCTCAGCCATGAATCAGTGCACACATTACATACCCTGCATCAGGAAGTCCCTTTCTTCCATATGCCCACTCCGGCTCAATGTRAAGTTCTGCCTTCTCTCCCTTACTCATGGTCAATAACGCTTCATCCCACTAAAAAAATAAACACCAATATTATAATCAGTAGTCAATCTGAAATGTACATGTTCTTAATATTCAACTACATGATTGTATAAATTGTACAAGCTGCCCTAGTGATCACTCCTTACCCCTCTGATGACTTTTCCAGTTCCAACTGGAAAGATAAGAGGTTTTATTTCACCTTTTCGGTTTTTTCTTGCAGTTACTGATGATGATAAGAACCATCACTTAACAGTCAATCCCATCAATGTTGTTCAGTTGTAAAGATGTGAAGAAAACAACAAAGTTATTTGCATATCATATTTGTATTTTTTTGCAAGACTTTTCAATCACAAGATCCAAAACTTTATGACAATGACAATAACAATAGTAACTTGCAAGCATGATTGATTGTCAATGAAAATGACTTTGCTGCTGTCTTTATATCTTCCATTGACAACTGAACAAAGTTAATGGGATTGACTGTACATGTATTTGAAATATAATTATTTTAGTAAAATCATTTATTTATTCATTTGTTAATTGATAAATGTTTCATAGACTCATACATAATTAACGAGTTATTAGGCCAATAGAATGAGCCTATTTGGTCACATGCATGGACCTTTATATCTGATAATTAAAAACACTCCTTATCAGTATTCTTTATATAAAGAATACTAATAAGGGTGACCTTTATCAGATATAAAGGTCCATGACCCTAGCAAAAGTCGAGCAGGTTTGATACCTGATCATTGACCAATGCAYGATGTCAACCGATTGCAGGAAACAGCCAACAGCGATTCTATGTTACTTTATGCGCATTCAATGTGGGATGACAAAAGTGCTTTGTAAAGTGATTCACGCAAGCCATGATCACTTTGCCCCATTTATCTCAAAACTTATTTTTACAGCAATTTCTCCAAGAACGTTAACGGATTTGAGTTCAAATTAGTGTTGGAGTTTTTGAAGCCATTTAAAACACTCGAGACCGTGTTTTATCAGGTATAAAGATTCTCGCTTTCAGCTCGAATCTTTATACCTGATAAAACACTCTGACTCTCTCTCGTGTTTTAAACTATACATRACATACTTTATTTGTCAAAAATTACAGACCGTATAATTTATAGACTTGCGCATTAAAATATAGTTGATTGTATAGTTGATTGCTCCATATTTGGTAAACAGTGAGTGAGTTGAAATTAACTGATTTATTTGTTGATTGCTTGAGACACAACAAAAAGGTATACCTGAGCAATTGGTATCAAATATAGTGCCATCTTCCAATTTACCAGTATACAAACATGACACTTTGTCATTCTTTGAAGGGAAGGTTTTCTTGTCTCCCGCCTTGAGAATAATCTTTTTGTATTTAGGTTCCTTAAAACAAAAGAAATCAAAAACCAATTAATGGGGACACTGCCATTTGGATGACATACATTTAGTAGTAGTCTTGATAGGAAACACRTCTGAGTAAATAATGTCTAATTCCCTGATCATTTCCTCCTAATTTCAAAAATCAGACAATACTCTCTGAATGTTATGTACAAATAACTAAGGAGAAACAGACCTCTTTAATTTGATGCGCTTCTTCTTCTTTTTGTGCAGCTTTCTTTTCATCTGCCAGTTTGACAGCTGCTGTGTGCTTGCTTAGCTGGTCCATTTTAAGCTGGTCCTCCAAGCTGGCTTCATCAGCTTTCCTAAAGGCTTTTCTTTCAAAAAGGCTATTGTATGCCATGATAAGATGGTCTTTCTTGCTTGTCTTGGCTATGTTATTCAACTTGCCATTGACCTTCATCTCTTTAAGAAACTAGAATTAAACATTCATCATTTTAACACTAAAACTAAAACATTTTAGATACATTAAAACTGTAGTAAATGTAAACTATTATGATCCAAAAAAATTAGCAATGCTAGAGCATTACATGATTGTAGATAGCATAACTTTACACGGCAATTGATGGTATCTACTAGTAAGTTCTTCCAACAGCCACAAAAACAGCCACATTTAATACATGTAGCTTTTAAGAATCAACGTTTGAGGACCACTCCCATAATGCAGGATCTCAACTTTCATAGATTAGCTGATGAGAGTATCCAGATTTTGTATTTTGTATTCCTACTTTCAAAATTACAAATGTGAGATCTCCAGGTTTTTTGAAAAATAGGACTAATCATGCAATGTAGAGCAGCCACCTAATATTACATGTATAGCTATTTGATGCAGTATTAGGAAATCAGATACCACTGCAAAATACTCTTAATAAAATGTATAATCCCCCCTTTCAGCTGATATTGATATATGGAATATGGACTGGGGTCAAGCTCATAAAAAATATCTGCAAAAATTACTGGTTCTGCAAAAACGCAGTTTAAGATGTTTTTTTTCTCAAGTCAATTACTCAAGGTGCCATTCCATTTTCTTATCAAAGATGAATAATATTATACCAACTAGATGCTGTAACAGTGTGAAGCTAGCTAGGATAGTGCATATTAATCAAAAATAGCAGCCCTGACAGCCCTGCAATGAGTTGACCATGTTGTCTGACCTTAGGATTACCTAGTAACTGAATCATTGAGTATAGTTTAAAACACGAGAGAGAGTGTTTTATCAGGTATAAAGAKTCRAGCCGAAAGYGAGAATCTTTATACCTGATAAAACACTATCTCGAGTGTTTTGAACGGCTTCAAAAACAACACTAATTCCAACACTCATTTGGAACTCAAATCTGTTAAATTTCTTGGAGAAATTGATGTACAAAATAATATGTTCTGAGATAAATAGGGCAAGTTTACTTATAAGAATACCAAAGCAAAAAAAAAAAAAAAAATTACCATTGGTCAGAACAAATTAGATTAAACTGGTTCAAAAATATATTGAACCTGAACTACAACATCTACAACACAACATTCCTTTACAACATTGTAAAGGAATTGAAAAGGTCTAAGTAACTAAAGATGAAACTAGTTTTCCTCAACCTAATCTTGTGTTTTCTGGGTGTCAAAGGAGGGATA